TTTTCTAAAGGGTGTGCCCTACAAACTGACAACTGGAAAGATAAAGAACACCTCTCTGAGTGTAAAATCCATTATTATGGTCCAGCTACCTGGGCAGAGAATGGATCCCAAGGGTACCATACTCCATGTATATGTTAAACTGTATTATCAGGGTACAGGCTGCTGTTGAAATTATTACTAATGAAACTGCAAAAGTCCTTAGTATACTGTTTTGTAACACTTTCCTCAGAGGATTGAAACTTTCCACCCTGCAGGAAGCTCCTTAAGCAGGAAGGTAAACAACTCAAAAAAGGTTCAGGAAGCTCCTTAAGCAGGAAGGCGAACAACACAAAAGAGGTTCATGAAGTTCCCCAAACTGATCACATTCACATAGGCTCCTCCCTTTTAGAGTAAAGAATAAAAGCTGAGAGTCCCTTTCAGATGAAAGGAAGCTGAGCTGCAAAGAAGACCCTCGGAGGAGACCAGACCAGCTGCCTTGCCTGCCAGAAGCAAAAAACAGGAGCTGGAGCAGCTTTTTGCCTGGATGAGGTTTAGACCAACTGAGGCCCTTGGAAAGGACACTCTCCAACCTGCTGAGCTGCCTGCTGGCTGTGCAGTTTTCCTCAGGTTCCCAGCTTTGTGAGCCATCACCCATGCTGGGGTGGACTTTGGTGGTGCAGCTGTCTTTGAGTCATTTCTGCTCCTGTAAGTAACCCCTCACCCATATTCCTGTAAGTAATCTTAATAAAACTCATTGGATCACCAAGTTGGACTTTGGTGGTATCTATACTGTAGCCTGTCTTGGGTTCTCTGTCTGGGGTGAGTAGAGATGTGTTTTGGACTTTGGTGGTATCTCCACTTTGGTCTGTCTTAGGCTCCCTGTGTGGGGTTTGTATATATGTGTCTGTTGTGTCTCCCCAGGGAAAGTTTTGTCATAAAACACAAAACGACACTATTTCAGTACTCGGTTTGCCCCAGGATTTTTTTTTTCTGGGCTCTGTTTGAAAAATCAAACAGCAGAGTCGGTTCTCTCCTACACCGACTCTGATCCCAGGGCTCAAACTCAAGTAATCAGTTTGGTGGCAAGTACCCAGTGAATCATTTAGTCAGCCCTAATTCTACCATGGTGAATGCATGTAGCTAAAAGTTGAGCTTTATTACTACAAACATATTATTTCTATTCATTGGTTTATTGTGTGTGTGTCAGAAAACAACTTTGTGAAATTGAAATTCTTCTTCTTTTCTCCTGTGTGAGTTCAGGGTTTGAGCTCCAGTTGTCAGTCAGAGAAACAAAGAGATTTTACTTGTTGAGCCTTCTTGCCCACCCTAATTTTACCATTTTTAATTCATGCAACAGAAAACAGGCTAAAAATTCAAATTACACGTATTTATTTATTTACTGTTTGTGGGTATTCTCATGCCACAGTGCATGTGTCTGGAGATCAGAGAACAACTTGCAGAAAATGATTTTCTCCTTCTACCGTTTACATACTGGGGATCAAACCTAAGTCTTTAGGCTCGATAGCAAGTACCTATACATGCTGAGCCATCTTGGTAGCCCTCACTCTACCAATTTGAATGCATGCAACTGAAAATGGCTTTAAAATTATTTATTTGTTTGTTTTACTTACTTACTGGGCCGGGGAGGGGGAGCAGTCGGCACATGCGCTGCTTGCCACTGAACTGGCCTGGCAATCAAATGAGAATTTATGAGATTTGGTTCTGTCCTACCACATGGGGTTAGGGGCTGCAGCCCAGGCCATTAGGTGGCAAGTGCCATTTATCCACTCTGACATCTCACTAGCCCTAATTCCACCAGTTGAAAAATCTAACCCCCAAATGGTTTAATTAATGTATTTATTCTGTGTGTGTTTGTATGTGACCACAAGGCCACATTGATGTCACTGTGGAGGTCAGAAGACAACTTGGAGAAATCAGTTCTCAATTTCTGCTGTGGAGTTCTGGACTCAAATTTAAGTTGTCAAGTTTACTGGTAACTAACCCCCTTTACCCACTGAAACATGTTAATGACTATAATTCCACCTTGAATCCACACGACGAAAATGTCTTTAAATTTTTTTAATTACATTTGTGTGTTAGGCTGTGTGGAGTTGGATTATGTACACAGCCATGGCACACACATGAAAGTCAGAACAACTGGAGGAGATCGGTTCTCTTCACCGAGTGGGTTCCAGGCTACAATTTAGTGGCAAGTCTGTACCGGCTGAACTGTTGGGGGATAGAGATGAGGAGGGGAGGGGGAATGGGAGGACCGGCAAGGCAGAGACAGGATGACTCTTTACTACAGGATGGGAATTGTGGGGTTATATGGAGTCTAGTTAATTCTCTTTCACTGTGTTGCTCAAATATTAGAAGAATAAATTCAAAATCTTTAGGCTGAGAAATTAGAACAGAGCAATCCCACAGCAGGAGGTCCTGGAAAAAGATTTTTGCTGACTTTTCCGTTCCAGCAGTTCACATGCCCGCAAGTGACCATGTATCATTGAACAGAGGGTGCAAACCAGGCACAAAGGATCTTTTGCTACTCCTCTTCACTGTCCACTTGGTGGTGTACTTGCACATCTTAGGTCTGCTTCACCTTGCTTCCTTCTCTCCCCTCCCCCCCCCTCCTGCCGGGACTAGAACAAACTTTTGGCCCCTCCCTGCTCCTCCTACTTGCTCTTTTCACCTCGTGTTTCTAGCTCACTGGTTCTGCCTCGAGGGTTTCTCCAGTCTTCCTTGCTTGTAGGACTGAATGTTACAGGACCCAGAAATATGTTCACACTTTTATGGACCTTCTACAATAGAGGCCTCCTATATAAGACGGAGACCTCTCTGGCCAACCACAACTTGAGCGTACAGCTCGACACTAACAGGACATCTCCGTCCAACTTCGCGTCTGGCTTTGTCCCATCACCGGTATCCAGCAACCTCCAAATGGGTGACTACCAGGATCCTAGCGCCTCCAGGTCCACCGAGGGTGGCTGGTCCAGTTTCGCGAGAGAAGCGAACAGCTGCAGTAACGGCCAGTTGGGAGAGACCACCGCGGCCTCAGATGGAGCTTCCCGGGACCCCTCAGGGGCCAAGGCGGTGCAGCAGTTACAACCGGAGAGTGGCGAGCTTAGCCTGCAGCAGCGGCCTCAGCAGCCTCAGCAACAAACTCAGCAACAGAAAGCGAGTAGCTCCAGCTCCCAGAGCAATTCTGATCGCTACAAGACGGAGTTGTGTCGGCCCTTTGAGGAAAGCGGCATTTGCAGGTATGGCCACAAGTGCCAGTTCGCTCATGGCTCCAGCGAGCTGCGTACCCTGTCGAGGCACCCGAAGTACAAGACGGAGCCTTGCCGCACCTTCCATAGTGTTGGCTTATGTCCCTACGGCACTCGCTGCCACTTCATCCACAACCAGCCCGAGCAGCAACCTGTGCCTTCAGAGAATACCTCTGGTGAGCCGAGCTCCTTCAATAGCTCCAATGAGCTGCACTTGGGCTTTAACCCGGAGCCGCATCCCAGGGTGCAGAGCACCAGCAATTCGGGCTTCCCGTTGGGCCGCAGCCATGCCCCCCAGACGCCTCTGCTGCTCACACACCAAGTGTTGAGCTCAGGCAGGATGCTGCCCGCATCATATCCTGTGGCCCCGCCAGCCCAGGTGGCCCCAGCAGCTCCGGCAGGTCCGGCAGCTCCGGCAGCCCCGGCAGTCCCGGCAGCCCCGGCAGCCCCGGGCCCGATGTACTGCCCATCTATTAACCCTATTCTCTACAACACCGGTAGAGTCCCGTCTGTTACCTGCCACAACAATGCCGTCACTTTCGGGCAAGAGATGGGTGGCTTCTTCGCTCCTGTGGCAATGCAGAACCACAACTTCGCCAATGCCACCGCCTATTATAACAGCCAGCAGCTGGGCCTGGCAGCTTCTGGGCAATTCCCAATGCCCCTTGCCACACCTCAGCCTGCAGCCACCATCTTAGCTCAGGCTGGTGTTGGCCCCGCGGCTGCCGCTGCCTTTGTTCCAGGGACTGTCGCTGCCGCCCTAATGGGTTCTGGCACTGCAGCCTCCACTACAGCTGGCCCTGGAGCAACCACCGCTGTCGGCAACTCCTTGGCCACCATCATCCGCACCACTGCAGAGGGTCCTGCCACTGCTGCGCAGAGTCCCGAACCTCACTTCAGCCTCCAACTGCCAGGAGCCCAGTCTGAGTCGCCAGAGTTCGATGTAGTCACCAGCACCCTGGATTCCCTGTTTGGCACCGACAACTTCGACGACTTTGTGAGCCGCTCCTCAAGTTCCAGCAGCCTCAATAACTCTGGAACTCCCAGCCGTCGTCTGCCCATCTTCAGCCGTCTTTCTGACTCCGACAAATGAGGCAAAAAAGTAACAATGGTGAGGGAGGCAGTGCTGGGGTGTTGGGGGAAATCCCTTTCTGTCGCTCCCCTTTTGAGAGCACTGGGGTGGGGGAGTGACAAAGACACAGGCAAAGGGCCTGTCTGAAAGCTTGGCCAGAACTCTATGTTGGGAGAGACACCATCCCTCTTTTGGCTTTCTTGTTTGGGTTATTATTTTCATTTTTATACTGGGGAGTTTAATTCTTGTTGAAAACAAAACGCAGGGAACTTTTTTGTGTGAAGCAATGTGTGTGTGGTTGTGAAGGTAAACCAAACAAAAAGCTTACACTGTTTTGTTTTGTTTTGTTTTTTAGGTCTCAGAAAAGCGCTATGAAACACGATGAAGAAAATGAGCCTAGTAGCATTTTTTTCTTGAAAACCTTAGTGACATCTCAGATGTGGAAGTGAATAACATTTGTCTGAGATCAGGGTCAGCAAACTATCTGGCCACCTCCTGGTTATATTGTTAGAATTCAGTAATTTGCCATGAATATGCCTTCATAGTAACCCTCAACTCCTCCATACTGTGGTTATTTCTGTATATTTTTGAAAAGAGTAATATTGGGGGTAAGAGAAGCTTACCTTCCAAAGTTTGATACTGATTTCATTGCTAGCACTTATAACCATTTCATCAGCTTTCTGGAAAACTTGGGAAGAGATTAGCTTAAACTGTTGGAGAATAACTGCTTGAGTTTTAAGTTCTGAGTTTATTTGCACAGCTGTGCCGCAAGTCAATATAAAGAAAACCATTTGTTTATGATCTTGTGAACAGTATATGCTGAGAGTTCTGTTCATGCTGTGACCATTTAGCTGATGAAAAGCAATACATGCATTCATATGTCATATTATGATTGCCATTATTAACTGGCAAAATGTGAAAATTATGCTCTTTTCATAGTTTCATATATCTTTGTAACCTTGCTTGGTAATTTTACTGTAGAGGAACAAAAAAAAGGTTTATTAAATAGTCTTCTTTCATAATTTCATATATGTGTGTAATGGCTCTGGTTATTCTCACCCTATCCTCCCTTATCTTCCTCTCAATATGGGCAGTACTAAAAGAAGGGTGTCCCCATTGGAGTTAGTACAGACACCAAATTCCTCCATTACAAGTGCCCCTACACACAGGTCCCCTTCCCATGTTTATGTCTTTTGTTTTGTTTTGTTTTGTTTTGTGATACAGTGAATTTACCCAGGGCTAGCTCCGTGCATACACATTTGATGATACTGACTCTCTTTCCTTTAGACTCTTTTACTAGATAATAGTACAACTCAAATGAGTAGGACCTTACGTACCCACCCCCCATCCATTAACTTAAAATATTGTACCTTTTCATTAATTTCCTTCGATGTTTATATAAATTCCAAAGCAACACATTTTTTTTTGAAAATTTTTTATTTGTGGGGTGAGACCACAAAGACTATTTGTGGGAATAAGTTCTTTTCTTCTACATCTTGGAGCTTGGACACTGAACTCTGGTCATCAAGCTTGCCAGCAAGTACCCACTGTTAAATGAAGACAAATAACCATTTCTGTTCCATAACGTTCTGTGACTACTGAATGGGACATTTGTGTCATCTCTTTCTTTCTTTGTAGAGCAGGCTGGCCTTGAACTCACAGAGATCTGCCTGCCTCTTCCTCCTTGAGTGCTGGGATTACAGGTGTGCACCACCACTGTCATCTGCTTCTTACAGCTGGACTTTTGATAATTTGGGGGTTCTTCTTTTTCCCCAACCTTTCTCTACTCTCCACCCCCAGTTTCACCCCTACCACTAGGTAGGAGAGAAATAAGAATAGAGGAGAGAGAGAGAGAGAGAACTCTGAATCTAATTTCTTCCTTGACTACTAACAAGTAACAACCAACTCTCCGCCTCCACCCCAGTGACCAACAACTGCCTACGCCTTATGTGTGCTTTAGCATTTATGTACCTTCTGAAAATTCCCAGAATTCCAAATGTCATAAATCTCAGAAACTGCAGCTGGCAAAACCATGCCTCTCCTATAGCACAAGGCAAATCATAGTCACCTGCGGCAGGCAGATCGAAGCAGCCCCACGTCCCCACATCTGGGATTAAAAGGAAAACATTTTTATAATATTTCTGTGTTTTTAAACCAAAATTCTTCAATTCTAACTACAGTTTCAGCTGTGGGTGACTTGTCCAAATAAGAATTCAAAGGTTAAACCCTGTCTTGATAAAAACCAAAGACAATAATAATAATAATAATAATAATAATAATAATAATAATAATAATAAAATAATGATGATGCAAAGATTTGTGAGCTGAAGAAATTGCTCAGCAGTTAAGAATACTGGCTGCTTTCCCCCAGGACCCTAATTAGATCTCAGGACTCACACGGTGGCTCCCAGAGACCTGTAAATCAAGAAGATTAGATGCCCTCTCCTGCTCTTTCCTAGCACCAGGCACATATGAGATATACATGCAGATATACATGCAGACAAAACAACCATACATATTAAATAATTTTTAAGTGCTAATGTTATGGTCATTACTGCTCAGGAATCATCATTGTCATCATAATTACTGTTATTATTAGTGTCTCACTTTGTAATTTTGACTGACTTGAAACTTACTATGTAAACCAGGCTGGCCTCAAACTCACAAATATTCACCATCTCTTTTATTTTTTATTTTGGGTTTTTTGTTGTTTTATTGTTGTTTGTTTGAGACAGGGCCTCACTCTCTGTAGCTGTAACTGCTCTGGGACTCACTAAATAGACCAGGCTGTCCTTGAACTCACAAAGAGCTGCCTGCCTCTGCCTCTAGAATATTGGGATAAAGGGATGTACCACAGCACCTGGCCTGTCTGCTTACTGGCATTTGCTACCCCCAACTCCACCCCATCCGGTTCAGTCAATACATCTGTTTAACAACCCCCCTCCTCCCCACACATAATACTTACACCAGTGTTTCTCAACCTGTGGGTCTCATATCAAATATCCTGAAATACTTATATTTGGTTTTCCCGAGACAGGGTTTCTCTGAGTAGCCTTGGCTGTCCTGGACTCACTTTGTAGACCAGACTGGCCTCGAACTCAGTGATCCACCTGCCTCTGCCTCCCTGAATGCTGGGACTGTAGGAAAGTGCATATCAGATATTTACAATAAGATTCATAACAATACCAAAATTACAGTTATGAAGTAGCAGCCAAATAATTTTGTGGATGGAGGTGACCACAACATGAGGAACTCTATTAAGTGTTCACAGCATTAGGAAGGTTAAGAATCACTGCTATATACCTTCCTTATTGTGCACAGCAAATGCATAGCCATGGCTCTAGATTCATCAGCATCCCATCAGATAGCATTAAAAGTTATATGGAAAATAAAAATTTCCTTTATTCTGTATAAACACAATGGCTGGTAAGAGCCTTTATGTGAACTCTCCTCGAGTGGAGGACAAGGAGAATGGCTTCCAAAGGAATACTTTGCAACTGTATTTCATTAGAGTCTGTCCTCCACCAAAAGGAAGGAAACAGTTGATGCAGAAGGCTCAGTGTGATGTTGGCACCACAGGCACTGTTGATTATTATGAGGCCTCTTTTTGCAGACTCTCAGTTTCTATTTTATTCATCATTCAGTTACTATTCATTGTATTCCTTGGCTCCCATAGCCTTGTAGCCATATCATAATGCAAAATCCAACTTCAAAAGTCCACGTAGTTTATTACAGTCTCAATACTGTTTAAAAGTTTAAATTCTCTTCTGAAACTCTTCTGAGACAGGTAGAGATGGGAATCTCTAACTGTAACCCCCTGTAAAATCAAAATAAAAAAAATATTACACACTCCCAATGGCACAGAATACACATTACCATTCTAGAAAGGAAGAAAGGGAGCATACTGAGGAAATACTGGACCAAAGTAAGTCTTAAAAACCAGCTGGGCAAATGCCAAACTCTGGATCTCCATATCTGATGTCAAAGCACTGTTCCGATCTCTAACTGTAAGCTTTGTTGAGTGTAACACACTTCTCTGTCTTGGGCTGTTTCCACTTCCTGTTAGCAGCTTTCCTCAGCAGGTATCCCATGGCTCTGGCATCTCCAACATCCTGGGGGTCTCCAAGGCAATCCGGGTTTCACCTTCACCTTATCTGCAAAGGCCTCTCTGGGCCTCCATCCACAGACACCCTTAACACATGCCTGGTCTCAGTGTCTTTCCTTAGCCCCTGAGGGAGATTCCACAACCCCTTTCTTCTGTCCTTGACTGTAAAACCAGAACTACAGGCTGCCAAACTCTGTGATTGTTGTGGCTGGAACATGGCCCCCTTGTTCAACTGTGTTTGCATCAGCTTTCTGCTGTTGGTGTTTTCTTTCACTGTTGAAGCTTTTCTTTAATTCCTTTTCAGGTTACCACTCCCTTTATTCCATTTGGATCAGGCTTTTCTTTCTACTTTTTATCTCCTTGAACACTACACCTTTTGACTTCCATACTACATTTCCTTTTCTTCTCAAACTGTATATTGTTTTTTCATTTTTCTTTGCTAGGGTTGCTCCTTTTCGTTATAGATCTTCATAAGAGTGAACATTAACAATCATATGACACAGTCAATACTCTTAAATTCAGTCTCAGGCACATTTTTAAGACAAAGGCAGAAATCAGCCACATTCTTTGCAAAAATATCACAAGAATGGTCTCTAGGCTGCTTACCAATATAATAGTTTCCCTCTTTGAAACTTCTTGAGCTGGGCCCTTATAGTTCGAATCAGCCTCAGAACTGTTTTCTATGCCCCTAAAAGAATGGTCCATTAAGTTGTTTAAAGTGTCAAATCATTTTTCTAGTCCAAAGTCCCAAAGTCTTCCATATTCCTTCATATTCAAGTCTATCACAACAATACTCTGCCACCTGGTACCAACTTCTGTTTTTGTTACTGTTCTGTTGCTGTGAAGAGACACCATGGCCAAGGCAACTCTTATCAAAGGAAGCATTTAATTTGGGCTGGCTTACAGTTTCAGAGAT